TTTTTTCTTTCATTTATATCATATAACAAATTTACTCAAAATTAAGTCATTTATTTATTTGTACATATTATGTATTTAAAAACTCATTTATTTTATAATTATTTAACATTGAAAATGAGGGCAAAAATAAAAGAATTTAACATCTCTCTTAATTTTGGACCAATTCACTTATTTTGAACTATGACAAAAAGGCTTCAACAGTTTAACTTATTTTGAAATAGAAGGAGTATGTATTATTTATTAAAACTTGAGATTTTAAAAGTTTTGTACTAAAATAATGAAATTTTTTTCTTCTAACTGTTTCGTAATTAAATAAAATGACCACAACAAAAGCTACAAAATACACACTAAAATGAACTGAATTATTATTTTAGTGAAATATATTGAGTAAGAGTCTGTTTGGATGAACTTTTAAATTGGTCAAACTACCTTAAAAGTCAGTTTTTGACTCATTAGAGTGTTGGACAATTATCAAAATAACTTATTTTAAGTCAAAAATGACTTATTTTAAACCAAAAGTTAAAAGTTAGGTAATTGGGTGTTTTTTTTCACTTAAAAGTCATTTTATATTAACCAAGTGTATTACGTTTTTGCCCTTAATTCTTTTATTACTTTTTATTATTATTATTATTATGTATTATTATTATAATTATTATTTTATTATTATTATAATTATTTTTTATTTTTATTTTTATTATTACTATTTATTATTATTATTATTATTTTATTATTATTATTATTATTATTATTATTGTTTTATTATTTTTTTATTTTTTTATATTTTTATTGTTATTATTATTATTTATTTTTTTATTTTTTTAAATTATTATTATTATTATTATAAGTTGTGCATATAAAATTAACTTAAATAATAAATTTAAATTCCTTTTATAAATAATTTGTGACGATAAGAAATATGTGAATGACCGGAAATACTATTACTTATTGATGTAAAATATAAATTAATTTTATTTAATTTTTTCAAGTATAAAAACCTTAAATTAAATAAATTTTTATCATGTCAACGACTTTAAGGGTATTTCAGACATTCTGATCAAAAAAGTGTTTGTCAGCACTTATTTGTCAAACACATCAACAACTTTTTTTCAAATGCAACACTTTTATCCAGACATATAACTACTTATTTAAAAATAAGTTTCAGCACTTTAAAAGTTGTTCTTTTAAGTCAATCCAAACGGGCTCTAAATATAGATAAACTTTTTTAATTTGTGTGAATACAAAAAGAAATTATAAATAATTTCAATATGATATAAAAACAAACAATAACAGAAACTCTTATATACTAAAAGTCTTACTTATTCTTTTTCTCCAATTCTGTGCTTTTTTTGTCATTATTTAAATTGTAATTTTCTCTAAATAGTTATACATTTAGTGAATTTTGTAACTCCTCAAGAGTTAAAATATTCACTATTTATTATTTGTACAATTATTCTTTGATAATTAAAACAAATAAAAATGACTATAATTTTGTATCGAGTTGTTTTTTGAAATATTAATATTGGTTGC